TTCTTGGGGCTGTTGCCGGCTGCCGCCAGGCTGACCGCCGTGAACCGGTGGCCGGCAGCCTCCATCCGTGGCTTGAGCTTGTAGTAAACCCAGGCGCCGTGCCCCACTCCGTGCACGGCCACGAAATGCTTCTGCCCTGTTGCCGTCGACATTTTCTCGTTCGGAATCTGTTAATTTTGGTGAGGATGTGTTAATGGGATTTTGGTGGTGTTGGCATGTCTTGTGTAGAGTCGGTTTTATAGCGTGATCATTGTAAAAGATTTTTATTCTTTCATAAGGGTGTAGTCATTTTTTTTTTTTACTAGGTGCAATTGGTATGAGTACAAAAATGTTTAGAAGGCACGAGGGGCGCGAGGGGATTTTCTTTTGGCAGGGTGTGCTGCTGTAGCATGAGTCACAAGAAAATGTAAGATATATATATATATATTATATTAGTTTGACATTTAGTGCACCTTTCATGTGTATGAATTTGGAGAGGATGTTTTGATGGGAGTGTGTGATTTGAAGAACATTAAGCATGAATTTACTGCAGTTATTGTTTTTTATTTGTATACAATATATATTACTTATTTATGCCAAAAAATATTCTTATGATGAAAAAAAAAAAAATATAACTTGACACCATACATATTTTCAATTAGAGAGATTCAAACCGACATCGCCTGAAGAATTGGGACCTCGTTAACGGGGTTCTCGGCGACTTCTTACTAACGAGCCACCCCAAAGGCGGTCCCGACCCGAGAGGTCGCATCTACAACAAAGTATCGTCACAATCCTTATCCCCGTGAGCTATGTCTTCACAGTCATTGATATCCGACCTCGTGACATTACAAGAATTGATATTTCCCACAAAAGAAGCCAATTTGATAGAGATCTACTAAGACTATCTTTATCCCCAACCCAACCCAACCTAACTTAACAATTTAAAATTATTTCTCTCTCCTCTACCTACACAACTCAATCTTCCAACCCAATTTATCTTTATTCATAACCCATCTCAACTTAAATAATTATTTTATTTTAATTTATTTAAAAATTGCAATTGTGTACTAAAATATATCAAGTGTGGTCTCTATTTGTAGAGAATGAAAAAATACGAATTTTGATATTTTTTT